TCCGAAACCCTCACCTCCAATTTCAACCTCAGATACCAACAAAGAACTCAATATCAAATTTGAGGATTCCAGCCCTATCCCTCCACCCGATATCCAATTTAGTACCACTCAGTACTTTTGCATGAATCAATCTTCAATTCTTAAAATATATGGTCTCCACTCTCAATCAAATAAAGATTTCTTGTATTTTTTGTTTTGAAACATTTCCTATAGCTCTTCAAAAATCACCCTTTATATCCCAATTCGTGTTTTCTTTCTATTTTAAGAAAATAAATTTGGTGTGGAGGTGATGACCATACAGGTTGATTTTTCTCACGGACCCGAAATCTATCCAAAACTTTTTGAGGAGTTGTCGAAAAAACCCATTGGGTTGCTTGGTGAGTGAATCAAACAAAGGTTCATATTTTATTATTTAATTGTTTTTTTTTTTTTTTTTAATTTCCAGTCAACAATGTTGGCATCTACACCGATAAGCCCAATCTGATGTGGTCCTAACCCAACAAACTTATCTGGGATATGATATATATCAACATGGCTGCAGCCACTGAGATGAGTCTCCACTTTGTCCGTGTCTGGCAAGCCGATGGAACAAAAGGTTGCATTGTAAATATATCCTCATGTCTGGAATCACATCCAACACCTTATGGGGGCATATATAGTGCCACCAAGGCCTATATGCGTAATTTTACCACAACGTTGCAGCATGAAGTTCGGCACTTGGGTATCACCGTACAATTACTGTCGCCCTTCTTTGTGTCTACGAAACTTTTGGATTTTTCAACGTGGTTGCGAAGAGGTAATATTTTTATTCCATCCTGTGATGTTTATGTCCGGCATGCCATACGGACGTTGAGTAAAGTTGATGCAACCACTGGGTATTTTTGGCACAGCATACATGTGAGATAGAGCTATTAATTAATTGCAATTCAAATTAGATTTCAATTCATCTATTTTTTTATGTTTGAAGGATATGTTATTTAGGTTGGTGCCATATCAACATCGGCCCAAAGTTATGGCCTTCTTTGGGAAATGCTTTATCGACGATTTTACGGAGATTAATGCACGACTTAACAACGAGAAAGTAGTGAATGCTAAAAACGATAACAGTCAAACGAGATAACTATACGACCGCAATGTTAGCTTCCAGCGCAGTTGAAGGCCATAACTCGTGCCAAAGGTGAACAATTTGAACAAATCTAAACTTACTCTAAAATTTGATGTTATTTCCGGCATTTTCTGCTTTCTTTCAATAAAATTAAAAAAAAATGTGAAAATTGTGGCGTTTGACTTTGTTGCAGTTTTTTTTTTATCTCACTCTGTATATAACAATTTTGCAGATAATACATCCATATCTCAACAACCAATTTAGTACCACTTAATACTTTTCTTACAAGTATAGTACACATTTCCAAAGCCACCTCCATGTCCCCATTCTACATCAAATCTTGTACCACTTTGTACAATGTAAGTACATATTTTCAAAACCTGCCTTATATTTCCATCCTAGATACCAGCAGAGACCTCAATATAAAATTCGAGGATTTCGACCCTTAAACCCATACCAAATATAGCACCATTTAGTACTTTTCGTACAAATATAGAAGGTTTTTCAAACCATCACAAAATCTGAAACACAGATACCATCTATAATTTAAATTTAAAATTTTATTTTATCTCTTTCACTTCTGCCAATACCAAATACAGTACCATTTAGTACTCTGCGTGCAATTATGGTACACATTTCCAAAATCAACAACATATCTCAATCCCGGATACCAACAGAGACTTCAATATCAAATTTCGGGATTCCAGCTCTATGCCTTTACACAGTACCAAATACAGTACCATTTTGTACTTATCGAACAATTAAAGTACGTAGTTGCAAAATAACCACCAGATCTAAACCCCAAATACCAACAGAGGCCTCAATATCAAATTTTTAGGATATCAGCTCTATCCTTTCTCCCAATACAAAATTTGGTACTATATAGTACCTTTCGAGCAATTATAGTACAATTCAGTACTTTTCGTACAATTATGGTACACATTTCCAAAACCACCTCCATATGTCTAGGCTACACATAAACAACGACCCTAATACCAATTTCCAAATTTCAAGCAATATATTTCACCCAATACCAAATTGTACCAAATATAGTACTATTTAGTGCTTTTTGTACACTTGTAGTTTACATTTCCAAAAAACACCTTTTTACCTTAAACCTACCACCAATAGGGTCCCCAATAAAAAAAATTTCAAAATTCCAGCTTCATCCGTTCACCTTTAACCAAATTGTTCCAAATATAGTACCATTTAGTACCGCTAGCACACTTAATACACATTTCCAAAACCACAATATAACTTATCAAACTTACTTTCCAACCTTGATTCTTATACCACATTTCAAGTTTTTAACTCAATCCGTTCACATAATACCAAATGATACCATTTAAAACATTTTGGGAACTAAACACTTCGTAACGACAGGTTTTCTTGCCTTGGGCTGGAGTAGTTCGCCGGGGACCAATAATTTGTTTCTTTTCAATCAGAAAGAGAAAGACTGTTGTTTTCCTTTGATATTACGTTTTATTATTGAATAATGTACTTATTCTATGGTAAGTATAAATTATCCTACGCGTCTTTGGTCGGGAATCGGTACTTCGACTCAAGACCTAGATAAGTACTCGAGACACGGGACAGGGAAGCTGGAATTAGTCCTAAGGATTAGGGATGGTGTATTCAAGTCTACGGAAAGGATTTTATGCGAGAGACCGTGATAAGTACTTAAGCAGGACCTATGAAGGAGTGCAAGGACCGATACGGCTGCAAGAGACCTTAATAAGCAGTCAAGCAGCCTTCAAGGATATTTAAAGGCAGGGCTGTAAGAGACCTTAATAACTACTCAAGCAGGCTACTAGGATATTCTAGGATAATAAAAGGACATATGGGTCTTCCAAAGGATATGAAAGGTCTGACACAGGACTCTTCAAGGAGGTCCACAGGATATGCAAGTATGTCTGGAGGATACGCAAGGATGTTCTAGGATACCTGAGGATTTGACTGATGATTATATCACTTACCGAGGTCGACGTTGATTCTTTACTGGTCTGGGGTTGACTGTTCCGATTCTGCCATCGTCCGTCCTTTTATACCTAACTTAAAAAGTAACGAAGAATTTCGGCAAAAGCAAAGCCTTCACAAGTTCAAACTGTACTCCGTCTGTTACGCTCATTTCCAATACAAAGAATTCAATTTATTGTACATTCTAGCACGGTCGGTTTTGCCAATAGATGTATACCCTCAGCCAATGCTCGTAAATATATTTTGACTTCTCTTATGATTATTCGAATTGTTGACCCGCAGGTTCCATAGGAATGGGCCAATATTGACCATTTCGTATCGGACCTAAATAAATATGATATAAATGTTGATTAAAATATAAAGATATGCGAAGTCCGAATGGAATCGGATGATAATTTTGCGTTTTATGAGCGCCATTGATATTCAAAATTTTGATTCTTTGTGGGGGAGATACCAGAAGGAGTGGACCGATATATTCGATCTTCACAGCAGATCTTGTGTTAATAAAAATAATGGGATGTGAGAAATATGAAGAGAACCGGATGCTAATTTCGGATTTTATTATCGTTTTGGTTATTCAAAATTTGACCCTTTGTGGCGGAGGTACCAGAAGGAATGGTTCGATCTCTACCATCTTTATAACATATCTTAGGTTGATGTAAATATTAAGATGTATTAAGTTTGAATGGAATCGGATCTTAAATTCGTGTTTTATTCAAAATTTGACCCTTTGTGGCGGAGGCACCGGAAGGAGAAGACCGATATATGCCATCTAAACACCAGACTTTGGGTTAGTAAAAATATTGTGATGTGTTTAACTTAAAAACAATCGTACTCTTACATCACATTTTATAAGATTTATAATTATTCAAAATTTTGACCCGTTGTGGGGAGGTACTTGATGAAGTGGACCGATATTGACCATTTTTGCACCTGACCTACCACTGATGCAAATATTCCGATGTTGCCCATCTCACAATATTACGATGTACCAAGTTTGGATTGAATCGGATATTTTTGGGTAGGTCGGTTCCAATTGATCTGAAAGGAATTTGGTCGGAGAAAACCTAGGGTCTAAAACGGTTATTTCGGTGAGGCACGTTGTGGCCCTATCAAATGATATATACCCTCTCTAGGGTATAAAAAGTGTTTTTAATGTTTTTTTCTTTGTATTTTGGGACCCATAGTAGAATTGTATGGCAAATAAATTTGTAGAATATTTTGACTTTCTACGATCACGTTTTATAGCAGCTTTAAAAAAGAGACCAAATAATTCCTTTTATGACTCGATGACTAAAATGATCTTAATATTGTTTCTGCAAAATTGTCGAAGACATTTCAAACCGGCAATGTAAAGAAATCTTAATCCGAAAAATGTTAAAAAAAATGTGGAAGAGGGTGGAACTTGCTCCTCTATTCGGTGTACTCTACTATGTAACTTTCAAAACGTCGATAAACGTCTCTTCTATTTTTAGCCCCACTTTCATTATCTATTAGGATTTTCCTTGATTTATTGAAAAAAATTTAATTTTTGTAGCACAGTGTAACCAAAAAATTATATGAATAACACTAACAGTGGTCCATTTTTGGCCATCCGGGGTTACAATGTAAATCCTGTGAAAATAAGGCTTTTCCTTATTTGGAACATTTAAAAGTGAATTTCATTAAGCCTAAGACAGCATATTTTCTCTAAATAATTGAATGAATTGAAACTATTATAGCATCCGCCTCTTATTTATTGTGGTGCTGAAAATCAAAACATTCTACACCAACGTCCAACGTCACAATTCAATTACTTGAATCAAAATCCACATTTAATAATTTATGTAAAATTATTATCAAACTAGTTTGTTTGTAATTCCATTGAATCAATAATAAAAACACGTACTACTAATGACTGCTACTAAAGTTCATGCTTAGGGGTTTTCATAATCAGTATGAAATTACAGTTTGCTCATTCAACATGCCAGACATTCGACCGCTGCCGGAGGAATTGCAAAAAAATGCAATCACAGAATTGGGAGAAGTACCAGAGAGAATTGCCGAGGATCTGAATGTTCTCAAGGCATGGATACGACAAAAGCCCCACTTGAAGGCCTGCATGGAAGATCAATTTCTAATACAATTTCTTCGTGGCAGTAAATATAGTTTGGAAAAGGCAAAAGAAAAACTAAACAATTTCTATACGCTCTCGGCGAAATCACCACATTTGCGATCTATGGAAGATGTAGACGATCCAACATTTCGTAAGATTCACCGGACGGGGTAAGAAAATATACTTGAATGAATATTTTGTTGTCGTTTAAAATATTTGATAAAAACAAAACTAGTAAAAAAGCTAAAAGCTTGGCCAGGGCGAACTTTGAATACCCTCCACCATTTGGAAAGAATTTGGCAATTTAAAAAAAAAAAAAAAATTAAATAAATAAACAAATAAATAAATAAATAAAAAATAACTAAATAAAAATAAAATCCAATAAAAATTTTTAAAAATTCCCTTAAAATCTTAAAAATTCAGAATGTAGCCATTATATTAGGATCTATACGACGTGGACCTGCATAGGCAACTTTGGTCATGAGCCACTACAATATTCAAATGTACCGAAAAAAAATCTGTGAATAATGTAGCTAAAATTATAAAATACCGAATATACGGAGGTACCATGGGGGCTATACCAAAAAAGTAGACCTGCACAGGTAATTTTCTGTCATAGGCTGCAGTATCGATTACGAAATTCAAATGCCAAAATTTAAACAATTCCGGTGAATAATGTCGCTAAAATCATCAAAATACCGAATATAGGGAGGGCTATACCAATACGACGTGAACCTGCATAGGCAACTATGGTCATGAGCCACAACAATATTCAAATGTACCAAAAAAATCGGTGAATAATGCAAAATCATAAAATACCGAATATAGGGAGGTACCATGGGGGCTATACAAAAAAGTAGACCTGCACAGACACTTCTCTGTCATAGGTTGTAATATCCATTGCGAACTTCAAATACCAAATTTGAAACAATTCCGGTGAATAATGTCGCTAAAATCATCAAAATACCAAATATCGGAAGGTACCGTTATATGAGATCTATACGAAGACGTGGACCTGCTCAGGCAATTTTCTGTCATAGGCTGCAGTATTCATTACGAAATTCAAATACCAAGTTTGAAGCAATTCCGGTTAATAATGTCGCTAAAATCATCAAAATACCGAATATAGGGAGGTACCATGGGGGCTATACCAAAACGTGGACCTGCACAGACAATTTTCTGTCATAGCCTGTAGTATCAATTTCGAACCTCAAATACCAAATTTGAAACAATTCCGGTGAATAATGTAGCTAAAATCACCAAAATACCGAAAATAGGGAGTTACCATTATATGGGGGATATACCAAAACGTGGATCTACATGAACCATTTTCAATACCAAAAGTCCTGCAGACACAATATACATTTGAGTAAAATAATATCAACCTACATCAATTCGTTCGGAAGCTAGAGTGATTTCCACAGACGGACGGACATCGCTAAATCGACATAGCATTTTGCTGATCAAAAATATATATACATTGTGGGGGAGGTACCAGAAGGAGTGGTCTGATATATTTCAATTTCACACCTGGTAATGTGTTGATAGAAATATTGAAATGTGTGAAATTTGAAGAGAATCGAATGCTTATTTCGAATTTTATGAGCTTAATTATTCAAAAATTTGACCCCTTTGTGAGAGAGAGGTACTGAAAGGAGAGAACCGATATATTCCATTTTTACACCAGATCTTGTGTTCACAAAAATATTGAAATGTTTGAAATTTGAAGAGAATCGGTTGCTTATATCGCGTTTTATGATCTTCATAGTTAATCAAAATTTTGAACCCTTTGTGAGGGAGGTACCATAAGGAGTGAACCGATATAAACCATCTTCACACCTGATTATGTGTTGATAAAAATATTGAAATGTGTTAAATTTGAAGAGAATTGAGAATGCTTATTTCGCAAATTATAAAAGGTATAATTATTCAAAATTTTTCAGTTACTAGAAGGAGTGGAATTATATATTCCATTTTCACAGCACATTTTGTGTTGATAGAAATAATGGAATGTGCCGAATTTGAAAGTAATCTGATTCTCAATTCGAGTTTTATTAGTTTTATAGCTATTCAAAATTTTGACCCCTTTGTGGGGAAGGTACCAGAAAGAGTGGACCAATATATACCATCTTCACACCAGCTCTTGCGTTAGTAAAAATATTAGTTTGTGTGAAATTTGAATCGAATCGGATGCTTATTTCGCATTTTGTGAGAGATATAATTATTCAAAATTTTGACCCCTTTGTGGGGGAGGTACGAGAAGAAGTGGACCAATATATCCCATCTTCACAGCAAGTCTTGTGTTAGTAAAAACAATGGGATGTGCCAAGTTTGAAAATAATCGGACGCTCATTTAGCATTTTATGAGAGATTTAATTTTTCAAAAATTTGACCCGGTGTGGGGGAGGTACCGGAAGGAGTGGACCGATACATTTCGTCTTCACACCAGGTCTTCTGTTTGTAGAAACAATAAGATGTGCCAAGTTTGAAAATAATCGGACGCTCATTTCACGTTTTATGACTTTCATAGTTATTCAAAAATTTGACCCCTTTGTGGGGGAGGTACGAGAAGAAGTGGACCAATATATCCCATCTTCATAGCAGATCTTGTGTTAGTAGAAACAATGGGATGTGCCAAATTTCGCATTTTATAAGAGATTTAATTATTCAAAAATATGGCCCGTTGTGGGGAAGGTACCTCAAGGATTGGACCGATACATTTCGTCTTCACACCAGGTCTTGTGTTAGTAGAGATAATGATATATGTTTAGTTTGACAGGTATCGGTCATCATTTCGCATACGACCTTCAGAGTTGTTCGAAATTTTGACCCTTTGTGGGAGAGGTACCAGAAGAAGTGTTCTGATGTACATACACCACATAATGGTAAGGGTATTATGTCTTTGTGCATTTGTTTGTAACATGGAGAAGGAAGCGAGATAGACCCATAGTTACTTTTCCAATGTCCAAATGGGATGGAATTTGGCACATATGACCAAATTGAGTCTAGAAGCTAGTATGTCAAATTTGGTAAATATCGGTTCAGATAGCTATAGCTCCCATATATACTGTTTATCCGATTTGTTATATATGTTACCCACAGCCGTAATATGCACTCCGTAACAACGATATTCAGGAAAATATATCAAATACAGCTCAGAAATATTTTTGCCGAATTTTATCCAGATCGGTTCCGATTTGGCTATAGCTTCCATATATATCTTTATCCGATTTCAAATTAATTGTGCACCAAATGGGCAATACAAGTCCGAATTTAAAAGATACAAGTGCTTCGTCATATTTAGTCCCTTGAACTTTAAATTATAATTATTATCATAGCTAATCATATGATTGAATTCTCCCATAAAAAACTTTTAATTGTTATGTGGAACTCTACTAAATTAGCAAAGTGGTGTAGGGTATCATAAAGTCGGCACCGTCCGACATTAGGACTTTCTTCACCGGTTTTTAATGTTATAAATATTCCAAACTTCGACCCTTTGGTCCAAAGAAACCTAGGGTCTAAAATCGTTATTTCGATGAGGCACGTTTTGGCCGTATCAAATGACATATACCCTCTGTAGCCACGTGGCTGAGAGTAATAATCAATCTCGGAAGAATGAAATATAATTTGCAAAAACAACAAAAAAAATTATAAAATCATTATCACTAATTTTGAGACATTACACAAACAACTACTGTGTTGTTGGTTATAAAACATTTAATTGATTACGTCACCTTTTTAGAAAAAAAAATATTGCATTGACTAGTTTGTTACAGTAGAACTGTTCGGACATTTTTACTTATTCGAGATTCAAATGTCCATACAGCTGCTTAGATTCAATATCACATTCGATTTAATTTTACCAAAACTATATTTCATTCGAAATTTTATTATTTTTCAGATGTCTTATCCTCCTACCGACACCATTGATGGAGCATGGTCCCCGCATAATAGTCGAGCAAGTGAGTTATGAGCCCTACGAGTTTACAAACACCGAAATCTCACGTTACATCTGGACCATGGCGGAAATTGTGCTACAGAGCGATCCCTATGCCTGCATTGAAGGTTTGGTCATTGTTTCGGATTTATCCAAAGTGACAGTGCAACATTTGCGTCAACTGACACCGAAAATGATACTGGAGGTGATGCGGTTCAGCGAAAAGGCATTGCCGTTGCGCATCAAAAGGCTATTGATTTTAAATTGTCCATCTTTGGTGAAGACTTTGCTCAATTTCGCGCTGTCATGTTGTTCGGAAAAGTTGCGCAAGAGAGTGAGTATATTTCTGAAACTTCTACGGAAGCAATATTTGTAATTTTTCGTTTTCTTTCGATTTTAGATCCATATCTCCAATGGCAATAATATTGAAAAATTCGCCGACGTTTTTCCCAAGAAATATCTTCCGCGAGATTTTGGCGGCGAAAACTCTTCACTGGAAAATGCTTGCAGGGAATATGAAAAAGTCATCGATGAGCATCGGGATTATTTTAAGCGTAATGCGGAGTGCGGGATTGATGAAAGATTGCGAAGAAAGAAAAATTAATGTTTAATAATTTTCTTAAATTTTCTGTTAATTTATAAGTTTATTTTGTATTTTCACCAAGTGACCGGATTACACATCATATTGAAGTCATGTACAGCAGATTTTTTTATACAGATCCAGGTTTTTAAAGAATCTGCAATCAAATGTTATTTTTATACCCTCAGCCAAGTGGCTTTAGAGGGTATATATCATTTGATACCGCCAAAACGTGCCTCATCGAAATAACGGTCTTTTACCCTAGGTCTCTTTGGGCCAAATCCTTTTCAAGACATTTAGAGTCGATCCGTCCGTGTGTCGGACTAGCTGACTGGTGCGCAGGATAACTATCGAAGGGAGTATCCGATTTGGTTCCAACTTGGAACATCGTAATATTATTATAAAATTTATATCAAGTTCGGAAATGGGCAATATCGGACCATTCCTTCTGGTACCTCTCCTACAAAGGGTCAAAGTTTTGAATTACCAAAACGAAATAAGCATCCGGTTCTCTTCATACTTCGCACATCCCATCATTTCTACTAATTCAAGATCTGCTGAGAAGGTGGGATATCTGGGTTCATTCCTTCTGGTACCTCCCCCACAAAAGGTCAAAATATTGAATATCTCCAAAGCTGATAAAACGCTTAATTAAAATTCGATTTCATTCAGACTTAGTAGATCTCAATATTTCCGTCAACACAAGATCTGTTGTAATAATGGTAGAGATCTGACCATTTCTTATGGTTTCCATATAGGGTTCAAAGTTTAAAAACGCTCAAAGAAAGCGAACGAACATTTTCCCTAACATAAGATCTGTTGTGAAAGTTTTATATCTGTGAACCCTTTCTGGTACCTCACTCAAAGGGTGACAAATTTAATACCTTTATCTCTCATAACTTGCGAAACAAGTTGGCGATTCTTTATAACTTTCTATATCTAAATATTTCCCCTAACTAGAAAGCGGAGATAAATATGGAATTTATGATTTTGGATATAAATGTTGGATTTTCTTTTTATTTTGACCATGCCAATATTTGTATCTGTCTTAAATGAAGTATGAAAATGGAATGCTTCAGTTGATTATATCTGGTAACTCACACACATTTTAATATTTTCACTTTTCAATATTTATATCATATTTATTTATGTCCGATACGAAAGGGACAATATTGGATCATTTCTTCAGAACCTACTCCATAGAGGGTCAATAATTTGAATAATCACAACAGAAGTCAAAATTTATTTAAACAATCGAACATTAGCTGAGGGTATACATTTGTCGGCAGTGTCAACTGATACCTTTTAACGTGCTTTTTAATAAATTTAGTTTAGAAACAAGTAAAAAAGTAGCTAATTTCGGCCGAACCGAACTTTTAATACCCTCGACAACTTGGAATAAACTTGAAAATTTTTCAAAAAAAAAAAAAAAAATCAGGCGAAAAATACAGCTCAAATGAAACCCGTTATATAGGGGGCTATACGAAGACGTGGTCCGGCATAAGTAATTTGTGTCCATTGAAAAATGTGGCTAAAATCATCAAAACACCGAATATCGGGGGGTACCGTTATATGGGGGCTATATGATATCGTGGGCCTATATAAATAATACTTTTTCAGAGGATAAAGTACTCACACGGAACTGCTTGTGTAGAATTTCCGACAATTCCATAGAAAAATGTTCCTATCTTAATTCGTTTTGACTCCAGCGTGATTACAACAAACGGACGGATGGAAAGCTCAAAATTGTCTTAGAATATATATACTTTGATCAAGAATATATATACTTTGTTGGGTCTAAAATGATTATTTCGATGAGTTACAAACGGAATGACGAACTTAATATACCCTCCATAAACATTATGGGAAGCGCCTGAAAGTATACTACAAACACGAACATATAAATGTAGAAATAGTCACAATACTTTAACCCTCTAACGGTTGAGCATCCGTACCCCTCATGTGAGGTATGGAAATTATCCGTAATAGCCAAAATGTCCATAACAGCAAAAAAAAAAGCCTCGAACTCCATTGGTTTCCATTCTTTTGCCTTAGTTTAATTTTTTAAATTCCATAAACCATTAACTCCCCTGTGTGTGCGATGATTCGCGTATCCTGATGTACAGGGTTGCCCATATTCGACGGACCTTTGGGGCTTTTGGGCTCATTCCAATCGACGAGGCTTATCCGCAGGCAACATTATTTGCGTCAATTGAGTTTTGTACGGGAACAAATGCAAATCAATTCGAATAATCCGTTGTAAAGTGGACCGAGCCATGCCCAACTGCTGAGAACGGCGTTTTTGGGATGTTCTTGGGGACCTCTCAACACTGGCTCGTACGTCAGCGATATTCTCGGCCGATCGCCTTGGTCGACTTTTATATGGTCTCTTGGGATCAGAAAGAGCCTTACCAGTCGAAAAATTTTGGTATAAACGCTTAATGGTGTTCTTAGAAGGCGCACTTCTCACATTTTTTAATGTCTTAAAAGCATGTTGAGTTTTCACAATTGACTTCTTCTGTTGAATGTAAATTTCAACTATTTCAGAGCGCTCGCGTGGCGTGTATTGGTTCATGGTAAAAATCTGCTTGGACTGACGCTTCAAACGCGGTATGTCATTAAGCGATGTGACATCTCTGTCAAAAGTTATGGCGTTGCCAGATGGGTCCGTCGAATATGGGCAACCCTGTACGCCATGTCTTCTGTGGCGAGCGAGCGAATATGGTAAAGGGACCATATGCAGTTCCTATTGGTCCCGCATTAAAATAGAGGGTCCCGAACGTGAAATAAAATGTTCAGCGATCTTGCCTCTCAACAGGTCTATTGTTACGCGTCATGAGTGGCATGTGCCATCGTCTTGTGGAAACAACATGCTATGGGCAAAAATTTGGATATCATCTCACGGTTCACTATGTTGAGATTCACAGTTACGTTACGATATTAGAAGAAGTAGGGTCCAATGATGCCACCAGCCCATAAACCGTAACCGAAACTGTGAATTTTTCTGGATGCGTTGGTTTCTGGCTGGTCTTAATTCTCAAATCGACAATACTGCTTATTTACGCACCCATTGATCCAAAAATGAGCCTCGTCGATGAACACAATTTTTCGTTTTTGAACTGTCTTTAGAGGCATGAAGACGTTTGACAGTGAAACTAAACATGAAACATGCGTAAGCTCTTCAAACCAGTATTCCCAAAAAGATAATAGCTAAACAATCAACATTTATTCAACAATTCATTGTAACTGTTTTATACCCTACAACACTAAGTGTTGGGGGTATTATAAGTTTGATTGTGCTAAAAATTATGTAACACCTCGAAACTTTGGTCGTCGACATAGGCAAGCATATATGGAACTTCCTATCTCCCTGGAATGGGTCGATCTAGCTATGTATGTCCGTCCGTCTGACCATGTTAATTTGTAATCACGCTACAGGTCGCAATTATGGCCCGATACTCACGAAATTGAAAGTGGAGGTGGTGTTTGGGTCAGAATATAAGCCTATTGTTTTTGCAATCGCAAAATGTTTATGAACCAAAAAGAGAAAAATTTCCTGATTTGCTGTTGCTTTAGAGGCCACAATTAAAAAACCAATCGACGCGGAATTTTGCATGGAGTTAGAGACATGAATAAATCGACTCTAAAAGAGATTCTATGAAGATCCTCAAAAGTAACTATGGGTCTCTCTCGCTTACTTCTCCATGTTGAAAGCAAATGCATAAAGACATAATACCCTTACCACTATGTGGTGTAGGGTATAAAAACCATTAAGTTCAGAATATATGGACGAATATAGAAAAACATTTCAGAAGTTACAAAGAGTTTTAATAAATAACTGAAACATATGGACAAGACCCTTTGTAAAAGACTCTTTATACAAATTTTTCCAAAGGGGTCTTCCAAAAAAAAAAAAAAAAAAAAAAAAAAAAAAATACAAAAGTTTGCCCCCTTTATTTGGTTTACTTTGGGTTGAAAGTTCCGATAAACTTGTCTTCTATTTTTAGTTCTACTTTCAGAATCTATTGGTGTTTTTCCTGAAGTATTTGGCCTTTCGGACTCGGAACTTTAAATCTTAGGCGCGCAAGTAATATCGAATGTAAAAGACAAATTTAAAACTAAACCAGTAAAGAAAGTCACAAAGGCGGGCGGGACCGATTTTATGATACCCTACACCACTTTGCTAATTTAGTAGAGCTCCGCAAAACAATTAAAAGTTTGTATGGGAGAGTTCAATCATACACGCTATGATTATAATTATAATTTAAAGTTCAAAGGACTAAAAATGCCGAAGCATTTGTATCTTTTAAATTCGGACTTGTATTGCCCATTTGGTGCAAAATTTATTTGAAATCAGATAAATATATATATGGGAGCTATATCCAAATCTGAACCGAACGCGATATAATTTGGCAAAGATATTTCTGAGCTGTATTTGATATATTTCCCTGAATATCGTTGTTTCGGAGTGCATATGACGGCTGTGGGAAACAAATACAACAAATCGGATGAACAATATATATGGGAGCTATAGCTATATCTGAACCGATCTTCACCAAATTTGGCATACTACCTTCTAGCCTCAATTCAGTCGTATGTGCCAAATTCCATCCCGTTTGGGCAAATATTAGACGTTTGGTGCACAATAAAAGGTAAATCGGACGAAGTTATATATGGGAGCTATATCCAAATCTGAACCGATCTCGATAAAATTAAGCAAAGGTATTTCTGAGCTGCATTTGATATATTTCCCCAAATATTGTTGTTACAGTGTGCATATTACGGCTGCGGACTACAAAAAAAATCGGATGAAACATATATATATATGGGAACTATAGCTATATTTGAACCGATTTCGATCAAATTTGGCATACTTATTTTCAGGCCTGATTTGGTTGTGTGTGCGAAATTCCATACTATTCGGGCTGATATTACACGTTTGGTGCACAATAAAAGCAAATCGGACGAAGATATATATGGGAGCTATATCTAATTTTTTACCGATTATCTCCAATTTCAAATGGGGTTTGTCCTTGGGCCAAACAAATGTTGTTTGAAAAATTTCATCTCAATCGGATAATAAATGCGACCTGCATTTTGTCCACAAGAATACATGGACAGATGGACGGACGGACGGACGGACGGACTGACATGCAGAAATCAACTCATCAAAAGGAACTATGGGTCTATCTCGTTTCCTTTTTGCCTGTTACAAACAAATGCACAGAGACATAATACCATGACCACCTTGTGGTGTAGGGTATAAAAACTATGTCTTGTATTTAGTTACATCTTAAACAATATATTTTCTCTATACCCGTGAAAGAAGTTCCCTAAAATTTTATATGCATAGCTCTATTATTATAGTTTATTGGCACCAGGTTAAAAACCTAAACATTGTATACAAAGTCACCGTCACGTTTCAAAATCCACAACAATCTATTTGAATTTTTTATCACCCAAACCTGTTTGTCATTTTATTAAATCATAGAAAACAACAAAAACTTCGACGTGTTCTAATAAAGTTTGTGTTCAACTTGGGGTATTGAATAGTTTCAACTCACAGTTTGTTTATTCAACATGCCAGACATACGACCGCTACTGGAGGAATTGCAAAAAATTGCAATTACAGAATTAGGAGAAGTACCAGAGAGAATTGCCGAGGATCTACATGTTCTCAAGGCATGGATACGGCAACAACCACACCTGAAGGCCTGCATGGAAGATCAATTTCTGATACAATTTCTTCGTGGCAGTAAATATAGTTTGGAAAAGGCCAAAGAAAAGCTGAGCAATTTCTATACGCTCTCTGCGAAATCACCGCATTTGCGAAGTATGGCAGATGTAGACGATCCAACATTTCGCAGGGTTCACCGAACTGGGTAAGACAAGATGTTTTATTGAATATTTTGTTGTCATAAAAAAAATATTTTACAAAAAAATAATACATCTCTGAAGAATGAAATGTGAAGATACATATTTATAAGCATTTGCAAAAAAAACAGTAACGTAGCTAATTGCTAATTTTGAGACACTATACGAAAAAAAAAACATTGTATTTCGATTTCAATTAATTGTTTACTTTGACATTACAATAATTTGTAACAATTTGAATAACTTGTTACTTAATGTTGCATGATAAAATCAAAGGTCCAGTGAGAGCGAGTTGAGAGAGCACTGAGAATTTTCCAATTACATCAGCTGATTGAAAATCAGATGTTTTGGGGTCATAGTAAAAATATTTATAAATTTCAGGAAATAATTTAAATAAGTTCCAAACCGGAAATTTTACAAATAATCGATTTTCACGATTTTAAACGAAAAACTCGTTTGATTATATTTTTATACCCTACACCACAAGGTGGTCAGGGTATTATGTCTTTGTGCATTTGTTTGTAACATGGAGAAGGAAGCGAGATAGACCCATAGTTACTTTTGAGGATCTCCATAGAATCACTTTCTGAGTTGATTTATGCATGTCAGTCGGTCTGTCCGTCCGTCCGTCTGTCCATGTATTCTTGTGAACAAAATGCAGGTCGCATTTATTACCCGATCCAGATGAAATTTTGCACAAACCATTTGTTTGGCCCAAGGACGAACCCAATTGAAACTGGAGATAATCGGTAAAAATTTAGATATAGCTCCCACATATATCTTTGTCTGATTTGCATTTTATTGTGCACCAAACGTTTAATATCAGCCCGAATAGTATGGAATTTTGCACATACAACCAAATTAGGCCTGAAAATAAGTATGCCAAATTTGATCGAAATCGGTTCAGTTATACCTATAGCTCCCATATATATTGTTCATCCGATTTGTCATATTTGTTACCCACGGCCGTAATATGAACTCTGTAACAACAACATTTGGGGAAATATAGCAAATACAGATCACAAATACATTTGCTAAATTTTATCGATATCGGTTCAGATTTGGATATAGCTCTCATATATAACTTCGTCCGCTCTACCTTTTATTGTGCACCAAACACCTAATATTTGCCCAAATGGGATGGAATTTGGCACATACGACCGATTTGAGTCTAGAAGCTAGTATGTAAAATTTGGTAAAGATCGGTTCAGATATAGCTATAGCTCCCATATATATTGATCATCCGATTTGTTATTTATGTCCTCCGCAGCCGTAATATGCACTCCATAACAACGATATTCAGGGCAATATATCAAATACAGCTCAGAAATAGCTTTGCTAAATTTTATCGAGATCGGTTCAGATTTGGATATAGCTCCCATATATATTTTTATCCAATTTTAAATTTGTTGTGCACCAAATGGCCAATACAAGTCCGGATTTAAAAGATACAAATGCTTCGGCAAATTAAGTCCTTTGAACTTTAAATTATAATTATAATCATAGCGTGTATGATTGAATTCTCCTATAAAAACTTTTAATTGTTATGCGGAGCTCTACTAAATTAGCAAAGTGGTGTAGGGTATCATAAAGTCCGCACCGCCCGACTTTAAGACTTCCTTTACTGGTTTGTCATTAAGAACATTTCAGAAAAAGAAAATAATAATAAATCTCTGAAGAATGAAATGAGCACATAAATATTTATAAGCGTTTGAAAAAAATAGTAACGTCGCTAATGGCTAATTTTAAGTCGATATAAAACAAAAACATTGTATTTGGTTTTCAATTAATTGTTTAGATTGGCAATGCAATTATTTGTAACAATTTGAATAAATTGTTACAAAATGTTGCATGATAATACCAAAAGTCCAGTGGATGAGAGAGAGAGAGAGAGTTGGGAGAGCAATTTTGCCAATTGAATTACTGAGAGTTTGCAAATTCTCATAGAGAATTTTTGGGGTCAATGTGAAAATGTTTATAAATTTCAGGAAATATTTTAAATGAGGTCGAGACCAGAAGCAATACAGTAATCGATTTTCACGGTTAAACGAATAACAAATTTGATTATACATTTTTATACCCTCCACCATACGTAGAACGGAGGGTATATTAAGTTCGTCAATCCGTTTGTAACTCATCGAAATAATAATTTTAGACCCAACAAAGTATATATATTCTTGATCAGCGTAAAATTCTAAGACGATTTAGCCATGTCCGTCCGGCCGTCTGTTGTAATCAATCAATCAAAACGAATAACGATAAAAAGCTAGAATTTTGCACAGATCAGTCTTTTGTCTGCAGACAGGTCAAGTTCGAGGGCAGCCTATATCGTTTCACGTTATCGTATAGCCCCCACATAAGGGTACCTCCCGATATTCGGTATTTTGATGATTGTAGCTAATATATTCAATGAAATTGACTCATAATCCACAAAAGGAGTTCCTTCTGAGTACTTTACCCCTTGAAAGAGTATTGTCTATATAGGTCGTATAGCCCACATACAACGGTACCTCCCTAAATTCGGTATTTTGATTATTTTAGCGAAACTATTCGCCGGAGTTGTTTCAAATTACGTATTTAGAGTTTGTAATGGGAACTACAGTCTGTGACAGAAAATTGTCTATGCAGATCTAGGTCTTCGTGTAGGCCCCATATCTCAGTACCTCCTATTCCTATTCGGTATTTTTACGATTTTAGCTACAATATTCACCGATATTGTTTGAAATTTCGTATTTCAAGTTCGTAACAGGTATAACAGCCTTTGACAGAAAATTGTCTATGCAGGTCCCGATCTTCGTATAGTCCCCATATACCGGTACCTTCCTATATTCGATATTTTAATGATTTAAAGGACGTTATTGAGCGAAATTGTTTGAAATTTCGTATTTGAAGTTCGTAATGGGAACTACGGCCTGTGACAGAAAATTATCTATGCAGGTCCACGTATTCGTCAATAAAACATTTTTAACAGAATTTTTAGCGGATTTTAATTTTTGTGAAAATTTCCAAATTCGTTCCAAATGGTGGAGGGTATTCAAAATTCGGCCCGTTCGAAATTCCTGTTTTTTACTTGTTTTCAACGCTCAGCCATATGGCTAGAGAGGGTATATATCATTTGATAACAGAAATAACGATTTTAGACCCTAGGTTTCTTTGGACCAAAGCTGTTTCAGGACATTTGGAGTCGATCTAGCGATGTCCGTCCATCTGTCTGTCTGGCTGGCTGGTGCGCACAATAACTCTCGAAGGGAGTATCCGATTTTGTCCAAACTGGGTACATCGTAATTTTATTATCAAACTTAGATCGAGTTCAGAGATGGGCAATATCGGTCCAATCCTTCTGGTACATCCCCCACAAAATGTCGAAATTTTCAAAAAAAAAAAAAAATTTTTCTGCACAGATAAGCCGATTTTTCCCCAACTTATCAAATCCTAATATTTGCGTCAGTGCTATATCAGATGCGAAAATGGACAATATCGGTCCACTCCATCAAGTACCTCCCCCAAAAAGGGTCAAAATTTGAAATAATTACAACTCTTATAAAATGTGATGTAAGAATCCGATTATCTTCAAATTTCACACATCCCAATATTTTTATTAACCCAAGGTCTGGTGTTAAGATGGACTATATCGGTCCACTCTTTTTGGTGCCTCCACCACAAAAGGTCGAAATTTTCAAAAATATATATTTTCTGCAGAGAAAGAGAAAGAATAATCCAATTTTGCCCTTAACTTTGCAAATCCTAATATTTGCATCAGTGCTAGGTCAGGTGTGAAAATGGAAAATGTCGGTCCACTTCATCAAGTACCTCCCCCACAAAGGGTCAACATTTGGAATAATTACAACTCTTATAAAATATGAAGTAAGAGTCCGATTGTCTTCAAATTACTCACATCCCAATATTTTTATTAACCCAAGGTCTGATGTGAAGATGGAATATGTTGGTTCACTCCTTCTGGTACCTCCCCCAGAAAGGGTAAAAATTTTGAATATTCACGAAGTTCATAAAACACGAAATTTATAACCAATTCTATTCAGACTTGACACATCTCAATATTTCCAAAAACACAAAACCATTCCTTCTGGTACCTCCCCCACAATGGGTCAACGTTTTGAATAACCAAAACGTTTATAAAATCCGAAATAAGCATAAGATTCTCTTTATATTCCACATATCCCATTATTTTTACTAACACAAGATCTGCTGTGAAGATGGGATATATCGGACTACTCCTTCTGGTACCTCCCCCACAATGAATATATTTTTTTAATATCCACGAAGTTCATAAAACGCGAAATTAACATCTGATTCCATTCAGGCTTAGCCCATCTCAATATTTTCCTCAACACAAGATCTGTTATAAAGATGGGAGGGATCGGACCATTTCTGCTGCTACCTTCCCCACATAGGGTTCTGGATTTTGAAAAACAAAAAGCTCAAAAAAACCGAATTGAGCATCCAACTCTCTTCAAATTCCATATATATTTCCCTCAACCAGAAACCTGAGATAAATATGAAATTTATGATTCCGCATAAAACTGGTTAAAAATGTTCGATTTTCCCGTAATTTTGTCCATAACAAAATTTTTGTCTGTATAAGATGAAGTATGAAAATAGAATACTTCGGTCGACTACATCTGGAACCCCGCTCACATTTGAACATTTTCGAAAAATTATCACATATCTCATATAAAGTGAAGGAAGTAACCAATATAGTCCAAACCTGGCACGTGGCAATATTGATAGCATATTTATTTAGGTCCGAAACGAAATGGACAATATTGGTCCATTCCTTTCGTCAAAAATTTGAATAATCATAATAGAAGAAAAAAATAATAAATAGAAGAAAACTGATACTTTTTAACTTGTTTTTTTTAAGAATCTCATGTCCATATACAAGTTTAGATTCCGATATGACATAGGTTTGAATACCAAATAATTTATTTCATTCTCAATTTCATCGAATCTTTTCAGCTGTTTAACCCTCCTACCCACACCATTGATGGAGCATGGTCCACGAATAATAGTCGAGCAAGTGACTTTTGGGCCTCACGAGTTTACCAGCGATGAAATCTCACGCTACGTCTGGACAATAGCTGAAATTGTGCTGCAGAGCGATCCCTATGCTTGCATTCAAGGTTTGGTCATTGTTATGGATTTCTCCAAGGTAACGCTTCAACATTTGCATCTGCTCTCGCCGAAAATGCTACTGGAGGTGATGATGTATAGCGAAAAAGCATTACCGCTACGCATCAAAAGGGTATTGGTTTTAAATTGTCCATCCTTCGTACAGACCTTGCTCAATTTCGCGCTGTCATGCTGTTCGGAAAAGTTTCAGAAACGAGTAAGTACTTCTGATAGACAATGAGAGAAGAAAATAATTTTCGACTTCTTTTGATTTTTGTTTTAGATCCATGTCTCCGATGGCAAGAATATTGAAAAATTCGCTGATGTTTTTCCCAAAAAATATCTTCCGCGAGATTTTGGCGGAGAAAACTCCTCAGTGGCAGATGTATGCAGGGAATTTGAAAAAGTTATCGATGCATTTCGGGATTATTTTAAGCGTAATTCAGAGTGTGGAATTGATGAAATATTGCGTTTGGAAGAAAATAATTTTAACAAAAATACAGAATTCGGCGCAGGAGGATCATTTCGAAAAATAAATGTTGATTAATTTTATGGAATACGATTTTAATTTTTGATTAATAAGAGGATATTAGTAAAACCATTGCACAATGGACTGACATCCAATTTTTTCTGTTCAAAACTATTTCAAAAGTTTTTCATAATAAAAATTGCCCGCCACCAATCCTACATCCTAGAAACTAACAGTGAATTAAATATCAAATTTCGGAATTTCAGCTCTATCCCTTTACCCAATACTAAATTTAGTACCATTTAGTACTTTTCGTTCAAGTACTATACACAATTCTGAAACTACCTCCACATGTCCAGGCTACACATGAGCAGCGAACCTTGTGACTACTTTCAGATTTCAAGCACTATTCGTTCACCCAATACAAAATTGCACCGAATATAGTACTATTTAGTATTTTTCTTGCACTTGTAGCACACATTCCCAAAACTACCTCCATATGTCAATCCCAGATACCAACAGGTTATTAATATCAAATTTCAGGATTTCAGGACCATTAAGTAGGCATATCCAAAACCAGCTCAAAGAATCTTAAACCGATATATTAAAACAAGAAAAAAAGCCTGTGAGTTCGGCTGGGTCGAACTTTGAATACCCTCCACCATTTGGATCGAAACAAAAAATTCGTTAAAAATTCTGTTAAAATCTTAAAACTATCGAATGTAGCTGTCTATACGACGGCATGGACCTGCGTGGGTAACATTTGTCATAAGCCATTACAATATTCAAATGCGAAACTTAAACAAGTAAGCAAAGGCTACAGTCGAGCGGGGCCGACCGTTGAATACCCTACAACACTATAATAAACGATACAGTTTACATAGGCGAGATACTCGAAAGAATTCCACAAGATATTGTGACAAATAATAAGAGAAAACCATAAGGTTTCGTTCTCTAATTTTCGTATAATAGCAATTTAAAATAATTTGCTCATTTCCAATTTATTGGTAGATGTTGCACGTAAATGGTCTTCCTAGATCTCGAACCAATATTTCCCAAACACCCATAATCTCTTAGAAGTGGCAAAAGATTGACATTTATTATTGGTTTTTGACTGAAACGCATCTATATGAGATACAGCCATTCAACTAAATCAGCGTTAACGAAGAAGTCACTGTAATGGACATTTTCGTATTTTGTCTACAAAAGTTGGCAAACTATTTCACACATTGAATATTTTTGGATGGCCATCCAAAACTGCTTGGCTTTTGCAATGTCCAGTAACCCCCATTCAAATGTGCGTGAGGATCGGGCGATAATTACGACCTGTTGACAAATTTTGCAGTTTTTTGGTCCATTTCAACCCCTAAATATATGACGATCATCTCCAAAAAGAGTAGGCTTCTATTCTGACCCTCATCTTATCCCCATGCAAAATTTCGTAAGGATTGGGCCATAAATGCGATCTGTATATGATATTCTGATGTCAAAACTACTTAGTTTTGTTAGCTGTAGAAATATTACCAAATGTTTAATTCAAAAAGAAAATATGCCAAAAATATGACAAAATTGAAAAAATATGAGAAAATTTACAAAATCAATATTTTCATCTTTAGAGAGATATTTTTATGCGATTTTTTAGGCGTTTTTTCTTTTCTGCAAAGAGGCCATTCTGAATTAATGAGAACTGTGGAAATCAGTTCAGCCGTTCTCGACATAAAAGAAATCTTTCAAGCATATCTTCTTTGATAGACATATATGTCGCACATATTTTGCTATATATCCGATTTGTTGGATGTTAACATCAATGTAAAGATCAGAAGTAACCCTGTCATGGCTTTGTGATTTCGCCGGGATTTAAAATATTCGCGGTTTAATGAAAAATTTCGAACTTTTTCAATACAAAAGATATGGTATATTTTACGCGCTAAATATAATCCGATGACCACTCAAATTGGTAAGCTTCTTCCCCGCCCTAAACTCTAGCTACATGCGAAATTCCGCGTCGATTGGTCTATAATTGCGACCTGTATAGCTACTGCAAAATCCGACATTTTTTCAGTATTTGGTCCATTTTAACCCCTAAACATTTGGCGATCATCTCCAAAAGAAATAGGGTTCTATTCTGACATTAACCCCACCTACATTTTAAGTTTCGTAAGGATCGGGCCATAATTGCGACCTGTAGAGTGATTACAAATTAACATGGACAGACGGACAGACGGACGGACATACATAGCTAGATCGACTCAGCTCGGCGAGCTAGGAAGATCCATATATACTTTCCTATATGGGAAACCAATATTTCGAGGTGTTACATAAATTCTGGCCCAATCAAACTTATAATACCCCCAACACATAGTGTTGTAGGGTATAAAAAGTCGGCAATAATGTAGATAAAATTATCAAAATACCGAATATCGGGAGGTACCGTTATATGGAGGCTATACGAAACCGTGGACCTGCACAGGCAATTTTCTCTCATAGGCTGTAGTATCCATTACGAACTCTAAATATGAAATATGAAAAAAAAAATTCCGGTGAATAATATCACTAAAATCATCAAAATACCGAATATCAGGAGGTACCGTTATATGGGGGCTATACGAAAACGTGGACGTGGTCTTAGGCTGTAGTATCCATTACGAACTTCAAATACTAAACCTAACAATTCCGGTGAATAATGTGGCTAAAATCTTCAAAATAGCGAATATCCGGAGGTACCGTTATATGGGGCCATACGAAGACGTTAACATGCACAGACTGTTTTCTGTATTAGGCTGTAGTATCCATTTCGAACTTCAAATACCAAATTTTAAACAATTCCGATGAATATTGTCGCTAAAATAATCTAAATAACGAATATCGGGATGTACCGTTATATGGGGACTATACGAAGACGGGGATCTGCACAGACAATTTTCTGTCTAAGGTTGTACTATCCATTACGAACTTCAACTAGCAAATTTGAAATATTTCCGGGTTATTATGTCCCTTAAATCGCCATAATACCGAATAAAGGGGAGCTACCATTATATGGGGGCTGTACCAAAACGTGGACCTACATGACCCATTTTCAATACCAAAAGTCCTGCAGACATAATACACAGTTGAGTAAAATTTTATCAACCGACTTCATTTCGTTTGGAAGCTGGAGTGATTTCCACAGACGGATAGACGAGCAGACGGACGGACATCGCTAAATCGACGTAGAATTATATGCTCATGAAGAATATATATTCCTTGTGGGATCTAAAATGTATATTTTGAGGTGTTACAAACGGAATGACAAACTTAATTTAACCTCCATACTACGGTGAAGGGTATAAAAGTATAATAATAAAGTATAATCATAACAGAATCCAATATATATTTTAGTAATCGAACATTGACTGAGGGTATACATCTGTCGGAAAGCCCCACTGCTTTGTGTGAAATATGAAGCCCCACTGTTTTCCGACAGATGTACACCCTCAGTCAATGTTCGATTACTTAAATATATTTTGAATTCTGTTATGATTATTCAAATTATTGACCCTATATGGAGTAGGTTCCAAAGGAATGGGCCAATATTGCCCAATTCGTATCGGACCTAAATGAATATGATATAAATATTGCGACGTGCCAGGTATAGACTATATTGGATACTCCCTTCACTTTATATGAGATATTTGATAATTTTTAGAAAACGTTCAGATGTGCGTGAGTTATCAGATATATTCGTCCTAAGTATTCCATTTTCAAACTTCATCTAATACAGATAAAAATATTGGTGTAGACAAAATTACAAGAAAATCGAACATTTATATCCAATTTTATGCGAAATCATAAATTCCATATTCATCTCAGGATTCTGGTTGTGAGAAATATTTAGATATAGAAAATTGTAATAAATCGCTACTTTTCGCAAGTTATGACAGACAAAAGTATTGAAAATTGTGCCCCTTTTTGGGTGAGGTATCGGAAGGGGTTCGCAGATATATACTCCTCGCAACTGTGCTTGTGTTAGCAAAAATGTTTGTATGTGTGAAATTTGAAAAGAGTTGGATGCTTATTTCGGTTTCTTTGAGCGGTTTGTTTCTCAAAATATTGAGCCCTATGTACCAGAAGAAATGATCCGATCTCTACCATCTTTATAACAGATCTTGTTCTGATGGAAATATTTATATTGTAACAAGTCTGAATGGAATCGGATCTTAATTTCCCGTTTTATGAGCTTCATGGATATTTAAAATGTTGACCCTTTGTGGGGGAGCTTCTGGAAGGAGTGGACATATGCATATCAGCTTCACATAAGATCTAGTGTAAGTAGAAATAATGGGATTTGTGAAATATAAAGAAAATCGGATGCTATTTTCGGATTTTATAATTGTTTAGTTCATTCAAAACTTTGATCATTTGTGGGGGAGGTACCAGAAGGAATAGTCCGATCTCTACCCTCTTTATAACAGACCCTGTGTTGATGGAAATATTGAGATGTGCCAAGTTTGAATGGAATCGGATATTCAAAATTTTGACCTTTTGTGGGGGAGGTACCACAAGGAGTGGACCGATATATTCCATCTTAACACCAGACCTTGGGTCAATAAAAATATTGTGATGTGTGTTATTTGAAGACAATCGGCCTCTCACATTACATTTTATAAGTGTTATAATTATTCAAAATTTTGACTCTTTGTGAGTGAGGTACTTGATGGAGTGGACCAGTTTCTCGCCTGACGTAGCATTAACACAAATATTAAAACTTGCAAAGTTGGACCAAAATCGGATAATCCTTTCTCCTTCTGTGCAATAAAATATTTTCTTTGAAAACTTCAACATTTTGTGGGGAGGAACCAGAAGAAGTAGACCGATGTCGCCCATCTTCGAACTCCATCTAAGTTTGACAATAATATTACGATGTACCAAGTTTGGACCAAATCGGATACTCCCTTCGAGAGTTATCGTTCGCACTAGCCAGCCAGACAGCCTGGGGACGAGCGGACTGACGGACGTCGCTAGATCAACTCCAAATGTCCTGAAACGGATTTGGTCCAAAAAGACCTAGGGTCTACAATCGTTATTTCGATAAGGAACGTTTTGGCTGTTTCAAATGATATGTAGACACATGGATAAAGGGCTAAGTACATAAAAAGCTTGAAGTCATGGCTAGGCATATTTTGTGACATTTCACAAAGGAACTACAGAGCCGCACTAAAATCCAGCCGTCGTTTTCCATTATAATTTGACATTAATATGCCTAGCCATGACTTCAAGCTTCTTATGTACTTAGACCTTAAGGGCATGGTACAACAAGATGGTAAACAGCTTCGTAAAACTACAAAAATACAGCCCTGTGGTTAAGCCATAACCATAGGTGTGTCTGGTTACTTTTCCAGCAGGAATTGTTCAGTAACTTCTT